CTATCAGTATTGGTAAAGAGAAAATCTTTATCAGTGCGCACCCCTACATAAAATGTCTTCCGACAGTGAAATCTGGACAGGACCTGCCTTCGGTGTCAAGAGCCTGTTCCAAAGTACTGGATACATTGTTTCTACTTAAGTAGGCCAGTTCTTCAAGCCGCCTGTTGTTGTCAAAGTCCTTTGCAGGGTCCCTTATGCTGGGTTTCCATGTATTTATTAATGGGAAATCTACTCAGGCTCTCCAGTATGCTTTTAATTAACAACTTGCGTTTTTTCTCACTAAGTGCTAAATAAATAACTTTTTGTTTTGTTTTTGTTTTGTTTTTCTTACCTCTCCTGTCATGGGTGTTGCAGAAAGCTTTAGCCAAAGCTTGTGGGAATGGAAACCAGCTAGGATTAGAAGCAAAAGCCTCCAATGAGGTGGTGTCTCAGCTCTTCCAAACCTCCCTTCCCATCAGCAAGCAAACTATCTTCACTGTGCAAAAGGGAATGAATGAGACAATGAGGTAAAGACTGGTTTAGGAGCTAGGGCTCTAACAAACTGTAATAAAGCAGCTGAAATTACTGGAAGAGCTTATTACAGTATAGAGCTACCTGGAATGAAGTGTATTTTGCCAGATCATTAAGCTCTTTGCTAACTGAATGTAGCTTTGCAACATATCTTGCAATGCAGAAATATTTGTAATTTTGCAAATGTCAGTGGTGTAGAACCAGAGTAAAGCGATACAAAGTGTGTGTGTGTTTTTAAAAGATGCCTGTCTTTAAGCAAAATAACAAATTCTGGCAATCTAAAAACCCTCCACCAAGGACAATGAGCCCAGAGTTGGTCTCCTTTATAAAGATAATAAAATGCCTTTCCAGTTCTGTAGGTACAATATAGAAATCCTTCTGAAATCTGTCTTTGCTATATACAGTGTTAAGCTAGTAATTTCTGAGTACATAAAAGTAGAGGTGCACTAATACATTGGTCCACACTGTATCAGCACCAATAAAAGGAAAATTGACATTATCGGCAATCGTCTTTTTTTGGTTGATGTGGCCAAAAATGTTGCCAATAAATGTTGCATTCATGAACACAGCCGCAGCATGCATGTGGCCAGGAATGCACCACAGCAGCTTGGAGAGCGGCGCTGTGGGGAGGGAAAGGGTGGGGGTGGGGAAGGGGCAGGGGGGTGCAAATCAAGGGCCCCACGGTGAGAGTGTGGAGCTGGGACTGGGACGGGGTCAGGTGCTGAACAGCTGGGGTGGGGCAGGTACAGGATGGAGCTGCAGGTAGCTCATCCAGGAGGGCAGCTCATGCTGCTGCACACACACCCAGGAGAGGCATGGGGGGCATGTGCCTGCCTGATTTGTGTGGGGTAAGGATGAGCTGCCCTCTGTGTGCTCCGGGCCGGGGCTGTGCCAGCCTCTTCCTGGCAGGAAAAGGCTGGCATAGCCACCGGTCCCCTGCCTGCAGTGGGCAGCCCACTCTTGCCCTGTGCACAGATCCAGGGGGCTTGTGCCCTCCATGCCTCCCCCAGGGATGCATGCAGTGGCAGGAGCCCCACCCCCTGGATTAGCTGCCTGCAGCTCTGGCCCCGTCCCACTCCTTCTCTCATTGTGGAGGTCTCAATCTACACCCCCCCCACACACATACGCACACATCCTCCCCTTCCCTTCCCATATTCCTTCGCCCTCCCAACAGACTTACCAGTGGGACACTGCTTTCCAAGCTGCTGGGCTGTATATCAGGAATTGAATCAGTATCAGCTGATATAGCTGGTCAATAATTGGCCATTGGTATTGGCCCAGAAATCTTTTATCAGTGCACCCCTACATAAAAAGTTGGTAAAGTGTTTGAGCAGGCTCTAGTGTTACAGTTGTCAGTTGGTTGAGGTCTGGATGGTTTCTTGCCCAACAGATCACGTGACTTATCTCCTTCCTTAGGTACATCTTAATTGACTGGCTGGTAGAAGTGGCCACAATGAAGGATTTTTCAAGTCTCTGCCTTCATATGACAGTAGGATGTGTGGATCGGTACTTAAAGCTGAGACCTGTACCCCGTGCCCGACTGCAGCTCTTGGGTATTGCCTGCATGGTCATTTGTACACGGTGAGAGTTCCAACTGCTGACTTGCAAGTGTCCAAGTGCTGATGTAGGCCTGCTTGTGCAGCTCTTTTCAGTTCTCTGTACTACGCTAATAAAGAACAGAATGAGAAATAGTCTGGTCCTTATCTCTACATAGGCTGTCTCTTGGAGTGCTGCTCTCTAAAATAAACTTTCTTAATATTTGCAGATGAGATGCAAAATGCTGCTGCTCCCTGAATAGTTATTTAAATAAGAAAAGCCCATTATGATGCAGCATCAGTAGCTCCTTTTATATTAAGCGCTAAGGTTTTACACACAGACTAGTAGCATTGGTATTCCTACTAGGAAGCACTTCAGACTTATTGTTATTCAGATCAGGCCATGTGATGCCCAGAAGAACAAGTTTGTATCTGTATTCATGCAATGTGTGTGGAAGGGAAGTATTTTTAAACTGAACCAGTGCATTGTCAGTTACTTTAATTCCACTGTGGCCTCAGCACCAGTGCTTAAAAAGAGGTTCCCAAACATGGCTCAATTCCAGGCATATGGAATAGCCCTCAGTGCTCTGTCAGTAATTTTCAAGAAGCACTTAACCTGTGAAACAACTTCATGGTCAAGGTTTTCTAGCTGACTGTCTGATGATGACGCAGCTCCATGTTAAAGGTGATGTAAATGCCCCATTAATGTTTTACCTTTCTGCTTCTTGGCCTGAGACACCATTTATTGGTGCCTTTTCTAAATTGTACTACCTTCCTCTTTCCCACTGGGGAAGTACCTTCCTAGGATACCCATGAGCATCCAATGTGCAAGAAAAGCTCAAAGTGTGACTTCCCCTAATTATTTGTGTATACTGCAGCTTCATCAGCAAAGAGATCTTGACAATACGAGAAGCTGTGTGGCTAACAGACAACACATACAAATATGAAGATCTGGTTCGAATGATGGGGGAGATCATTTCTGCCCTAGAAGGCAAGATAAGGGTGAGTTTTTGGGAAATGAGTGGCATGTTCCTTTCTTCAACTCTCACTTCCTAAATAATGAGTAGTTGCTGTGCTCAGTGATGAGGTAGTGTAGATCCTTTTCCCAATCTCTTTTTGAATTAGATTTTGTTACTTCTGATACTCAGAACAAGGATGGTTTGCTTCTGAGATACAGGTGACTGGGTACTGAATTCAAATAAGAAGCTGTGAGCCAGCTGCGGGACTCATGTCCTTGGTAACCCTGCGCTTGCAGGTGCTTACTGCTATTCTTGAGGAGGTTAAGTTTTAGCCCTCTTGGGACTAAGTTTAAAGATGAATTGTTCTGCTTACCATGGGCAAAGTATCTCAATAACCTGGGTTGGTAAGGAGCCATGTTATGAAATGAAAAGAGACTGCTGCTTGGGACCACTTCCATTCAGAATGTCATTGTGTCTGATGCTTGACTGTTCTGAAGTTTTGCCAAGCTCTGTGTTCACCCTTGTGTTTAGATTCCTACTATTGTGGACTACAAAGAAGTGCTGTTGAACATAATCTCACTGGAGAGAAGAACTCTTCACCTGTATGGCTTTATCTGCGAACTCTCACTATTAAACACAAGTCTTTGTGCATATTCCCCTGCCCATCTGGCTGCTGCAGCATTACTGCTAGCTAAGATATTGCACAGGCAAGGTAAGGAACAGTTTGCTGCTAATCATGTAATAAATGGACTTGCAGGGAAACCTGTCCTGTCCGCTCTGATAGGCATCATTTGGCACAAAAGCCAAGTGTATACTTAATTCATTGTGCCAGACTGCCTTGGTCATCTCAAAGGTGAAACTCTTTAGAATGATGTGATGGGCTCGGCTCACTTCCCCATACTAGCATTGGTGGGCTCAAGTTGGCACAAGGCTTGCATTGCCATGGGCTATGAAAAGATTGAGGACTTATTTTCACTGTTAAAGGTACACTGGGTTATGCAGAAAGGGACTTCTGAAGGGAGCTGTGGCTGCCAGCACTAGGAGCCCATCAGCTGTATCTGAACTCAGACACATAATCTGAATACCCCTGCTACTACTAATAATAATGATCTTGTGTAAAACCACCTGATGTTAAGAGCTGCTTGTTCAGAATGTTTCTGAACTGGTGTTGATAATCTCTTCTTCAGCACATCCATGGACCAGCCAGCTGTCTGAATGCACTGGATTTTCCCTAGAAGACCTGATACCCTGCATGCTGAGCCTCTATCAAAAATGGTAAAACCTTCATAGCTTTTTCTGAGTAGTTTTGAGTGGTGCTCGGATGGGTAGAAGTATTTGGAATCCATGTGTTACAGACTTGCTGCATAAATCTGAACAAAATATTGATAATTGTTATGTTAGAACTGGGGAGATGGCTCTGGCAAGGATATACTTTGCTCCTTGCACTATGGGAAAGGTTGAGGGTGTTATTGATAATGTAGCTAAATGATGACCGCTTCATTCATTCAAATAGTAGAGCCTTGGTTACAGGAGATATACTTCTCACGGCTAGCAGCCCCAGCCTGTCAAAACTCCCTTGTTTCATAAAGCTGGGGTGCGTTTGTCAGCAGTGAAGGGAGCCCATCATGGAAGGTATCATAAGCAGATCTTACCCTCTGTTATAAATATGATAAAGGGAGGAGTTTGGTCCTGGAGCTGCCTCAAAGCTGAGCTATCCATCCTGCTCTGCTGACCTGTTGCTATTTCTGTTGAACCAGAGCTGTTGAGAGATCCTCCAGAGCTATGAAACAAAGGAATTCTACTAACTAGTCCTGTACAATATAGTGACATGTGTTGTGGTTTTTCTTAGTTTCCATGATGATGTCCCAAAGGATTATAGGCAGGTGTCCTTGACTGCTGTAAAACAACGATTTGAAGATGAGCGTTATGAAGAAATTGGCAAGGAGAAGGTGTGTTAGTAGCCTTTTCTCTTCTCTATTCTGTGATGACTCGCATCCTCAGCAGAGAAATCTACATGGCAGTATGTACAGGACTCACTAAAGCAATGGTTCTTAACCTGCAGGCCGCATGCAACCCAATCTGCACACTGCTGCAGGCCATGTGACATCCTGTTAAATGGATACACAGGAAGTAAGTTGTGTGGGTGCAGTCCATATAACACATTGAGAACTGCAAGTGTGGCCCACTCAAGCAAATAGATTGAGGACCACTACACTAAAGGAATAGTAATAGTGGAGAGGTGCACAAGTAATGTGTGATGTTAGTGCTGCTTCCCGTCAGAAGTATACATTGCACAGTGGGGCTGTAAATGCCAAGGAGCAGTTCCAGATTGAGCAATCAAATGCCCTGATGCTTGGAGTGCACTGCTGTAATTGTCTCACTAGGCTATCTTGCTTTTTAGGTGATGAGTTACAGCCAGCTCTGTCTGCTGTTAGGAGTGAAGCAGGAGGACCCAGAGCCCAGTCCCTTGCACATGAGTGCAGTAGAAATTCAAACTTTCCTTAGCTCTCCTTCTGGAAAGAGAACTAAAAGGTTGGTAAGCTGATAATTCCATGTGTGCGCGCTCCTGTTTGTGTGCATACCCATGGGACTTAGTATAACTCAGAAGGGAGGTCTCTCCTGGGCATAAGCCAAGGGGTACCTGGCTTCCCTAAGACTGTGCACACACATCAGTGTGGCGTTTCCTCCTTCCTTCTATTCAGACCTTCCATTCTTTAGAGATCCAAGCAATTCTTTCTCATCACCCAAAGAAAGTGTTGGATTTGCTATGCAAGTTGTCAGTTTTGTAGCATTCTCTGGAGGAGTTTTTATAGCTAAGTGAGCAGAGATTGGCCTGGTCTTTTCCTTCCTTTCATCCATATGATCTCAGGCTAACTAACTTCTGGCTTCCATGCTGCAGGAGAAGGGAAGACAGCATTCAGGAAGACCGGGGCAGTTTTGTAACTACACCCACGGCTGAACTGTCCACCCAAGAGGAGAGTCTTCTGGACAACTTTCTGGACTGGAGCTTAGATTCCTGCTCTGGGTATGAAGGAGATCAGGAAAGTGAAGGCGAGAGAGAAGGAGATGGTGAGTTGTGCATCTTCCTATTATTTCCTTGGTTGCTGAAAAAGCAAGTCCTCTTTCAAAGGACAACATTGAAAGGCCTCCTTTTTATTGTACTCTGGAGAGAGTACCTTTACACAACAATCTTAGCATTACCGAAATGTTATGCATCTCCAGGACTCCCTCATTCTTTTGTGCTGCTGGAAAATATTTGGTTACAAGTCTCAAAAGTTTTTGTTCATTGGCTTGAAATTCAGGAAGATGAACTGCAGCCTGTTCTAAGCATGTTCTGTTGGACTTGAAGAACTAACAAGGGCAGTATTCCTGGCTGTCTGTTAATAGACTTCACTGTTGCTGTGATCTGCTCCTCACCATCCCCTGCTAGAATTCTGGAAAGTGCTAAGAATTCTGTGGCAGCTTAGTCAGTACTGCAGTATCTGTGTTTCTGTCAGTGCTGTATAACTCAGTGCTTTGTATATAGCCTGTCCTGCATGCCAGCAGTGGGGTCCCTCTTGCACAAGGGAACATTCTGAGCTTTCAGTTCTGTCTTAATCCATCCAGGATTCAAACTTAAGCACTCAGGATTCTCCAGCCTGTGCTGAGGCTCTGCCTTTCTTGGCTACACTGTACTCCAGTATATCCAACTAGAAACTAACCTGTTCCTTTTGATCTTTTGTCAGTAACAGCTCCCAGTGGAGTCTTGGATGTAACTGTGGTCTACATGGATCCTGCAAAGCACTGCTGTCAGGATTCCAGCGATGAAGATATCCCACCCACAGTGCAGTCCCGACAGGATGTTCTGGGGAGGGAGGCTGACCAACAGTGGCCCACACCCCTGACCCCAAGAGAACCTATGCTAGAGGCCAGTTCAGGCTATTCCTCTGTCAACAGCGCTAGTCCTACTTCCTCTGCAGACAGTAATTTTGGAGCATCTCTCAAAACTACCTCAGTGCTGTCCCTGAGCAGTTCCATGAACAAAGGGCCATACCTGTCTTACTACTTGAAATCATGTTTACAGTCTGTCCACTCCAAACCTTGCAAGGGCCAGTGTGACAGAAGGCAAGTCAAGCGGAGAAATGTGGCTGAACGCAGTGAAGAAAAGATGAACTTGGGCTTCTTGAGCCTCTGATTTCATGCTGTTTACTTTTACCTAAAAGGGTTCCTGGAAACCAGTATTTCTGTGTATTCTTGCAGGGGAAGGTAGTAAGTAATTATTGATGCCTGTATAAGCCAGCCCCTCCTCTCCCAGCTAGCCTATGCCCATCAGGGTCTTCAAGCCCAGTTCCTGCTCCTGTGGCCCATTACTGGGCCACCTCATTTCTAGGCAGCTGCTTTTTAAAATGGCCCTTCTACTTTGATCCTATGCAAATTAAAACCCCTCTTTCCATTCTAGTCTTGAGCACATGTTAAGTAAAGAGCCCCTCTATACCATCCACTGCTGGCTTGTCACCTTTTACTTCTAGCCTCTGCTAGTAGGTGAATACTTGTGTCCTCCATAACTTCACTCTTTGGGTAGCTGACTCCAGAAGGGAAGCAAGTTTTGTCCCTTTGTTATGCGATACATGTAACACTATGCTCAAGTTCCAACTGAAAAGCTCAGTCCATTTCTGTGGCTTCACTCTGCCAATTGCTTGCTCACTCAAGTGGTGTCCCCCATTATGTGTGCACACAGTTCACTACTGATCATTTTTATGGATACAAGGAAAGCAAATGGAGGACCAAGTCCTCACGGTACAGGTAAATAGAGGTTTACTCTGTATCAGACCTGAACTTTTAAACTTCCCTTCTACCCATCAGGCATTGAACCCAATCCCACCTGGGTGTAGTCTCTCTCACCTCCAGTTAGAGGTGTAGATAAGGCAAATCCAGCATTCTGTCTAGCTGCCATATGTTCTCTCTCAGTTGAAGAGCCTCCCTTCTGTGCCTTAACACTTCACTTCCTTTAGTACTGCTGCAGACTGTAGCTTTGTTCTGTGGTTAAACTGCCACCTTCTCCTCCTGTAGGTCAACCTTACTTCCTGTCTATTGCATATTATCTTCCTGGCTGTTTCCAACATGTCCAAGTTGAGTACATATCATTTTGAACACTAGAACAGAGATGGCACTGCAGTAAGGGTAACTATCGCTTCTGGATAAAGCCCTGGCTTAGATATCTCCCCACTGCATTCCAGCCAGCCAAGGAGAACGTGTGCAATTCCCGTAGCTGAGCTCAAAGTCTCATGCCTAATGCAGGCTGGAGAACCTATAAATCACCATGTTGCAACAAGCCCAAGGCTGTGGATAAAACTGCTTCATCCTATGGATGGTTTGTTACACGATGGGTTGCCTTTTGAACAGGGTGTAAGTGTTAAGGTACCAAAGTACAAGATTTCTGGGAGCTATGTCACTATATGAACTAACACTGGAACTGCACATCATATTCCCCCTCCTTTATTTTAGAAGTTACTGTGGCAGAGACAATGACAGTTATCTACAATGTAGTGACTTTTTGATAAAATAATTTTTTAAATATTAGACTCCTTGTTTTCTTTACACATGAGCACAATGCTTAATTTAATGAGTTGATATCAATTGGTAGTTATGCTGGGGGTAGATTTAATGTTCATCTGCCCTGAAACACTTGAACCAGTTGTCACAAGAACTGAGTGGCTGAGACTAAGCTCTAGATAAGGCTGTGAGTAAGCTAATGAATAGCATCCTTAGTATTAATACTACTAGTAACTGTCTGTAGTAATCAAGATGATATTGTCCTTTTCAGTAGAGCTAGATTTAATTGTTGTATTGCTTCTCCAGGATATATAGTGGAGATACTGTGAAAGTGGCTTTCCAGTGGTTGAGCTGCCCCTGAAGGGGGATCCCAGCTTCAAGTAAGCTGCCCTTTTTTTTTTTTTTAAGTGAGTGGATCTTATAGCCAGCACCAGGTGTAGCTTAGAGCTGTTAAAGCAGAAGAGATAGGACTCATCTTTATGCAAAAGGTAAGAACTGAGCTGGAGACAACCAACCCAACAGCAGAGCTAGTCAGCCAACAGTTCTAGAGCTCATGCAACTAGCCTGACCATTTCCCTAATGTCATTGAGTAAATCTTGGGGAGAAAACAAGGTGCAACATCCCAGTTACTCCCTGCCTCTACCAACTCACAGCTGGAGCCCAGCCATGGGAGAATGTTTTTGGCAAGCAGAGGGAGACAGAAGATTATTAACTCCTCTTCGGGGCTAACACAGAAGAGGGCCCCATACTGCTGAAATCACATGGAGTTTACCATCAGGACAATAAATCTTACCGCTCAGATCAAAGAATTGTGACATGCACTTGGTGCTTTACACGAAAACTAGCTACTGCATACAGAAAATTGGATTCTATTTCTAGCTCTGTCACTGCATCACATCCAAGTAACTTGGGTCAAGTTATTTTGTCTGAGCCTCCAAGGTCTGAAATAGACTGTCGCTGGAGGCAGTTCAAACACCGATTTTGAGCACCTTCAAGAGATAGTTGGATGCTTATCTTGCTGGGATCTTATGATCCATGCTGACTTCCTACCCCTGGGGCAAGACTCGATGATCCTCCGGGGTCCCTTTCAGCCCAAATGTCTATGAAATCCTTGTTTTGCCTCTAGGAAATGATTAACATCCAGAGGAAGGCCTCCACAGCAAATAAAAAGATTGAGACTAGAAGGCTACAGGTTCCATCTGAAACAAGTTTATTAGAAAACATTTCTAGGAAGATACAAATGTTTAAAATTCCCAGTTTCTTCCCCTTCACCAGGTTCAGCCCATCTTCATGGCAATGTGTATAGGTGCCTCAGTAATTCCAAATGGCTGGGTAGCCATCTACCATGAAGGAGTAGGTCTTCACATTAGCTGAAGCTCATAAAGCATCAGTGCTGGCTCAAATTTCAGTTTTTAACTTACGGTAAAATCTCTAAGAACAATCTATAAAAGTCACAATTCTAGAACAAAATGTAATAGCACAGTGAGAGCTGGCTGCACAGCTGGGCGTGGGGCACCCCTTCCAGCAGGCCTACATTTTCAGTCTCAGTCAAGTTTCCTCAAATCTGAAAGCCACAAAGGAGTGCATTAATCATGGAGCAGAATGTGACTGGCCAGCTCTAGCCTGTTCACTGACAGCAGCACCATGTGAAGCTGAAATTTAAGTCATGGGGAATAAAACCAGCCAGGCTTGCATAAATCTGCTTCTTAACTAAGACAATAGGCCAAATTCAGTTCTGGAAGGAGGGGTGCTGCTTCCCCCCTTCTCATGCAACAGGAATCAGATTAGGGATGAATGTAAGCTATTAGTTCATCAAGTATCAATGAATTTATGGGCTCCAGAATGGAACAAGCAGTTCTACCAGTGCAGAGGTAACAGGATTTGACCAATTTATGGCCCACCTATAGGTATTATCCTTTGTCCCCTTTGATGTCCTTTATCATATGATCTATGGGCACCCCTAAGCCCAGAGTGGCAGAAGCAGTGTTGGAGAGGCCTCAATCCTGCAAACATGAGTCTGGAACAGACACAACAACCTCTGAGAGCATTAAATAGCAGTACCTCAGCAAAGCTATAGTTAGAAATTTGTCTTTAAAAAGGGAAAGGAGGCAGGTCTCCTGTGCTTGACCAGTGTACCTGAAGTGGAACCTGTTTAACTGGATAAGTACAAGTGAGAGCCTGGACACCTGTATACTGAAAGACTGTTAATGTCTAAAGCAGTGGTTCTCAACCTTTTTAAACTCAAGGACCTCTTGAAAAATGTCAGTGTTGAGTTTTCACTTATTTTTTGACTACAGAAAAATAATGGAACAATTATTCTGTTGCAAAGAACTCAAAGACCACAACAGATCACTGGTTCTGGCACTACAGATTCCTGTTTGAAATCTCTAGGTTTATCTTGTGAATCATGTGATGGTGTTTGTACACCTAACTGCTAATACTGCACAGCACCCTGGCTGAGTATCACTGGTCTAAAGACTCTGTTTTCCCCCTGCAGACAGGGCTTTGGCTCTAGGATGCTCAGTGTGTGTGTGAGTGCTGCCAAGTGCAAAAGCCAAATGTGAATAAAAGGCATTAGAAATCTTTCTTTAGGCCTTTGGAACAGACCCAGACAGCAACCCCCTTGCTGGGCAGTGATCTTCCAGCCAACTTAACCGAAAGAAACAGTCAGGTTCCCTGGTGGATGATAAATGGGAACAAAGTGTTCAGGGGAAAGACTAGGGAGTCCTGGTAGTAGGCTCTCTACCAGACCAAGGCTCTTCCCAAAAGGTAAGTCCCACACCTTGTAGAAGCTTTTCTTGATCTCTAGCTTGTGAGATGACCAGCTGGAAGAGTTGGGGAAACTGATCAGAGGTGGGAGCAAAGGGCAGGGGACTTGAATACTAGAAGAGGGCTAAGGAATGGAAAAGGAAGACACAGCATGCTGTAAGGGATTATGCGGAACATGACTCCTTCTGGAGCTTATAAAAAGTGTCTGGGCTCAGGCTCTCCCCCCACCTTTTCACTCAGTGACCATGTCTACACAAGCACTATTTGTTTCCCTGGGGACAAGAAGCTGCAGCATACCTTGGGCCACTGCTATTCATCCCTGGCGAATGCCTGTGCCATGCGCCCTCTGGTGCACGGCAGTTTACCTTGGATGGGGTAGGGGAGGCTGGGTGCTGGCCCCAGCAGCCTTACGTGGGATCCTGGGGGAGCTGCAGCTGAAGTGTGGCTCCGGCAGGCTGGCTCACTTTTTTAAGACATGGGTTTTGTTTGACCCCAGGATCTCCCAAGGTAAAGCCCCCCCACACACACACTGCAAGGTAGCAGCGCAGGAAATGCCTGCATGTGCAGTGCCATATAGCATACCTCTGCACTCATCTGGACAGGGCCAGTGATGAGAACAACCCTTCTTGTAGTGGCACACGTGCATAGGGGAGATTTTTTTTAGAACAGGGCGATGTTCCCCACTTGTAGGGGGAGCAGTGGGAGACCCTGCCTCCCTCACCTGCAATCAAAATACATTACCTAGGGCACCATGTTGACATCCACTGAGTCATAAGGTGAAGCTCTCATCCTCTCCAGTGGCTTCCTCCAGATCTCTCGCAGAGCCTTGTAGTCTGGCTTCTCCTCATACTCTAAAGCCATTGCTTGCTGCAGGTAGCTCTGTAGGGCACCTGCCACACACCAGGAACTTCAGTACAGATGACTGTTTCCAGAGAGCAGCACACCCAGCATTTCTGAACCAGCTGCTAACCACCACCAAAGCCCCCCTCATTGTTAGACAGTTGGAGGGACTTGGCTTCAGATATATGCAACTTGCCCAAGGTCACCCAACATGTAAGTGGCAGAACTGGGAAAAGAACCTGGTTTCCCCCCCTCCAACATTTGTTTTGCTCATTGGCTCATACTGCCTTCAAAGCTAGGCTCATGAACATTGCCCCACAGTGTGCAGAAGCTGATACAGTGTACACCCACCCTTGTTCCAGCACAAAGGAAGTGAGGGAGCCCGAGAGCTGGCATGTCACGGTTCCTCACTCGCACAAGAGAGAAGCTTTGAGCTTCAGTGAGTAACAACTCAACCCCCACTGCTCTGTGCCCGTCCATTCCAAGGCCCTATGCTGTTCAAGTCCATACCTGGAATTGTTTTCCGGACATAGCACAGTCTCAGGAGGCCAGTCACATCCATTCTGTGCCTACAGCATTTGACAAACATTTGGTGATAAACAGCAGACACAAGCAGAGGACCCCAGAGCAAGCAGCCTCCAGACATGTGGGCAGATTAAGGCTGTGCTGGGGTGACTGAATTAGAGATGGCCGAGCCCACTCTCTGGGGGACAAACCAGATCTCACTGCGCATCTGTCTGAAATGCTGGGACAAAGCCTGATTCCACTGGAGTCATGGGAGTTAACTTTCAGGGGAACCAGCCCTTACAAGCTGGGTGTCTTGTTAATTCTGACTAGATCAAAGCATCTAAGTGTCCCCTGGGAATTATGAAACCTCTGATTTTACTCCTTTACTCCCAAGGCCCCCACAGAGTGGTCAGCCATTTCTCCCACCCCAGAGCTCACCTCTTTTTCTGCTCCATCACAGCTTCAACGTTGGCCAGCTCATTAGACCAGGGCAGGAAGCCGCAGAGCCACTTCAGCAAGCAGTAGCCCAGAGACTCCAGGTCACTCCGGCGAGATGGAGCTGAGGGGAGGGAAAAGAACAAAAAAAGTTTACATATGCTCAAGAAATTCTTTGAGAAAGCAGAGTCTGAGAGATGAGTAAAGAGTAGCGTTGTGTGAAATTTTGATGAGCGTTTCATTTCAAAGCTGTTTCAATGCATTTTGAGCTTGAAACAATGAAATTGAAACAACACAAAAGGCTTCAAAACAGCTTTGAAAGGAAATAAGGGCACTTGAAACATTTTGAAACATTTCGAGTTTTGAAGTAGGCTGGTGGCAGGTGGGGGAGAGCCACTGGCCATGGCTGCAATCGGAGCCAGGGCT